TCACTACTAAATCAACGTGTAACAAAATATTCCCGAACAAATTTTATTCTTTTTGGTATTAATCTTGTCCTTAAGCCTCGTTCTAAAATATTTAAAATATAACGTCTATTGGTACGTTACAGTGTATCAACACGTTTTAATATACACTAAGTATTATAACACAGTGACCCGTCATGTTATTGTTGGAATAGAAACACAGTCTAATCTAACATGGTGTGTTTTCTTTAGGTCCAGGGTTGGCTTTCCTTGTTTACCCAGAAGTTGTTCTACAGCTCCCACCTCCCCCGTTATGGTCAGTTGTGTTCTTCCTCATGCTATTAATTCTTGGTATAAACAGCCAGGTAAGCGTTACCTATGTTGATATGTATTGAGGTACATCAACATTCTTAAAATACTGTAGTTCTTTTGTAGTCTCTGTTTTCGTTTTGTTTCATATTTATACGTATGTGTTCTTGTTTATCTCAACGTGTGGAGTCTCCTTGAAAGTTAAGTAAACGATTTCAGCAGTATAAAAACGTGAGTTACGTTAAAGTGGAGATGATTGGTTGCTGAGTCTGTTTACCTTTTACCCGATTGTACATCTAAACGAAGAACAGGAGATATGCGAGAAAACTGATGGGTATGGAAAAAATTAGCAAGTGAGTGATTGTTTAGCGTTATTTGAAAAATTTGGCCTAATACGTGAAACTTGTAAAACTTGTAGTTGAAGAAATAAAATGATTTCATTGTCATTAATTGTACTGACCTTGCATGTTTCACCAAATTAGACCTGCGTAGCAACGGGAGCTGATGAAACAATACTGTTACCAGTGTTAGATGCTAAGAGCGATTCTGATCTAAGAACCTCATATATTATTCCCTGGTGTGCGTGTGATGTTTAATGTTTCCTTTTAACAAAATAAGTCCTTCGGATGTGTCGTTAATATCAAATTTTATTTCCACCTATTCCCTACTATTTGGTCGCAAACAACGTGTCGAGTGGCAGCTTAGTTGTTAACACGTGTGCATGTTTTTGTCAGTGTGTACTCTTGTCTGCTTCCTGCACATGATGACAGTGCTATCGATATGTGTCAGTAACCAGCTGCATGGTAGCTACATGCTACATGTGTTACATATGACAGTAACCAACTACATGGGGGATACCTCCTAGGTTTTCCTGTCATGTGCTACATATATCAGTAACCAACTACATGATAGCTACATGCTACATTTGTGTTATCTGTTACATGTGACACTAACCAACTACATGGGAGATACCTCCTAGGTTTTCCTGTCATGTGCTACATATATCAATAACCAACTACATGATAGCTACATGCTATATTTGTGTTATCTGTTACATGTGACAGTAACCAACTACATGATAGCTACATGCTACATTTGTGTTATCTGTTACATGTGACAGTAACCAACTACATGGGAGATACCTCCTAGGTTTTCCTGTCATGTGCTACATATATCAGTAACCAACTACATGGTAGCTACATGCTACATTTATGTGTCATGTGTGTGACAGTAATAAACTATATCTGCTACATGGCTAGTAGCTCCTATTATTGCTACACATGTTTGTTGTATGGTACATATACTTGTTGTTACATGTGTCCATTACCTGCTACACGTGTTACAGTGTGTTTCATAATTCAATTAATTTATACCTGACAAATCAGACACTAAATATGTAACCACAACTTGTTATGTAAGAATTTTCAAAGCAACATTCTGCAATAATCCATAGTAATCAACTTGTATATGAATAAAAGAAATTCATATTACAACACAACATAAGTAATACTACATTTTCTGACATGCGCACTAGTCTTAAAAAGTCGTGAGATAACAAACAACTCAACATACATTTTAAAACAATTTCTCTAGGGATCATTATAAAAGTTATTAGCATCTTTTCTGGTTTTTAATGACATTAAAACAGTAACAATTTGGTTTCAGAGTTAACAGTATATAACACCTAAACTGTTGATTATAGACTTGGTGACGAATTATACATGTTGTCAGAGCATACTGATGAAAGTAACTTAAAAACATAACTATACATATATGTCTATACTGAATTAACGTTTGAATAATACATGAATTGGTCACTTACTAACAATTAAATGAAGACGTCATGTACTACACACCCATCATTAGACGTCATGTACTACACACCCATCATTAGACGTCATGTACTACACATCCATTATTACCCGTCATGTACTACACACCCATCATTAGACATCATGTACTAACACATCCATCTTTAGACATCATGTACTACACACCAATTATTACCCGTCATGTACTACACATCCATTATTACCCATCATCCAACCCCCAACATTATACAACAAACAGTTATCATTTCAGATTTATTCCTATAGAAACCAGTGAACATTATTATCTGTGTAACAACAGTATTTAATGCTACTGATCTACATTACGATATCATCATTGAAGACATCTTGGATAAGATGGTGGCTTGAAGAACAATTTGATATTGATGTTTATATTGTTCACCGACACATCAAGTATTTTCATAATAATAATTTCTTCGTTTTACTGATTTTTTGAAACAGTGTACTGTACCTGGACATACCTGAGTGACCATCGGGAGACCTAACAGGTACAATAGGATGACCATTCCTACAGTAAATAATTTCCTTCGTGGTCTCAAGACAGCTGCCCACTCGTCCACAATTCCTGTTATCAGAGTTTCCACAGTGCAGAACTATGAAAAACAAAACAAACCAATATGTACTACACACCAATCATTATGATGTCTAATGATTGGTGTGTGGTACATGACGTCTAATGATGGATGTGTAGTACATGATGGGTAATGATTGGTGTGTAATATATGATGTCTAATGATGGGTGTGTAGTACATGACGTCTAATGATTGGTGTGTGGTACATGATGTCTAATGATGGATGTGTTAGTACATGACGTCTAATGATTGGTGTGTAGTACATGACGTCTAATGATGGATATGTAGTACATGACGGGTAATGATTGGTGTGTAGTACATGATGTCTAATGATGGGTGTGTAGTACATGACGTCTAATGATTGGTGTGTAGTACATGACGTCTAATGATTGGTGTGTAGTACGTGATGTCTAATAATGGGTGTGTAGTACGTGATGTCTAATGATGGGTGTGTAGTACATGATGTCTAATGATTGGTGTGTAGTACATGATGTCTAATGATTGTTGTGTAGTACATGACGTCTAATGATGGATGTGTAGTACATGACGGGTAATGATTGGTGTGTAGTACATGACGTCTAATGATGGGTGTGTAGTACATGACATCTAATGATTGGTCGATTGAAATGTCGCTAATTTAGCAGCTCTTGTCAGTATCTTCATCTCTATGAGCATTTTATCTTTATTTATTTCCAGCAGGTGAATATTAAAATGTTTATAGAACTTATCAATAGATGTCACCCAAAGGAAATGTATATGGTATTTTATATATTTCTGAACTTATGATTTGTTTTCAAGTAATATCTTTATTCAGTATTCCCAGTTTGCCCCTGAAGAAGAAAGGCCCACCTTTCGAAATCACTCGGGTTATAGGGTATTTTTATCATCTTGTATCAAGACTCCTTGAACCTACGTATTTTTTTGAGATCATGAATTTATACAGTGTTATCATACTACATTTTAATAAAACAAACCGGGACACGAATATGAATTTAACACATTAATGTTTAATCATGTAAGATACCCAACACCAAGATAATACCACTTTCTTCGTTGTTTCTACCGATCACAGAACTGTCCAGTAATATTCACCCTTTAATTTGTATTGTTAGTAAAAATTCACTTAATGACCAGAACAATAATAATATGTTTCAGTTTGTTTAAACAGATTCTATTATTTACCAAAACAATCTTTTTGTTTTTCAGGGGGGCATGTACATATTTCAACTGATGGATTATTATTCTGCCAGTGGAATGACTCTACTGTTTACTGCTTTCTTCCAAACTATAGCTATCACGTGGGTCTATGGTAAGTTCCAAACTGTGTATCAGTTGTAGCGTGAAGTGAAATCAAATGTTTTACATTAGTAAAACAGACCATTAATTATTACGTCACTTCTAATATACCTGTTTGTTTCTGTGGCTTCACTGGTGTTATCTTGTTCCTAGAATGTGTTGTTGTACCATTTACATTTTTAACTTTATAAAATAGTGTTGTGTTATACGTACGTTAACCCTAGAACGTGCTTTTGTACTGTACACAAGTTAACCCTAAAAAAAGTGGTGTCTTATTATACGCGAGTTAACCCTAGAACGTGATGTTGTACTGTACATAAGTTAACCCTAAAAATGGTGTCTTATTATACACGAGTTAAACCTAGAACGTGCTGTTGTATTAAAGATGTGTCGGTTTAGATGTGTCAGTTAACTTTTTATTATCTTTAATCCGTGTCTTATTATACTCAAGAGCCGATTATTTACACAATTTAAGTTTTGTTTTTATCTGTTGCGGGATTTTCAATTGTTTTCAATATAATTCAGTACTATTCATTAACAAATGGACTTTTAATTTGTAGATTTGTTTGTGTGTTGAATTCAGGTTTTATGTTACCACTTTGTAAAGCTACGAATTTCTAAAAGTAGTAATAACAGTAAATTATTTCAGGCGTAAAAAGGTTTTCTAGCAACATTGAAGAGATGACAGGACATCGGCCAAACTGGTATTTTCTCACTAGCTGGGTTTTTGTTTCTCCAGCCGTTTGTTTGGTAAGTTTAATGTTGTGTTTTAAATTACGTTGGTTTAAATAAAGGATATTCGACGGTTTAATTAATAAAGTAAACGAGGATGATGGAGGAGCTCGATCAGTACATTGGTCCTCTGTAAATAGTTAATGAAGTAAACGAGGATGATGGAGGAGCTCGATCTGTACATTAGTCCTCTGTAAATAGTTAATGAAGTTAGTTAATGAAGTAAACGAGGATGATGGAGGACCTGGATTAGTACATTGGTCCTCTGTAAATAGTTAATGAAGTAAACGAGGATGATGGAGGAGCTCGATCTGTACATTGGTCCTCTGTAAATAGTTAATGAAGTAAATCCTCCATCATCCTCAGCTCGATCTGTATATTGGTCTTCTGTAAATAGTTAATAAAGTAAATGAGGATGATGGAGGAGCTCGATCTGTACACTGGTCCTCTGTAAACCATGAGGAGGTCTTTGAACCCACAGCGATCAAGAGTACTTTATGTTAACTGTAATAACAGATCGTTTATCTTACTTACTCGATAAAACAGACATGATGTTAATTCAGTAATATTTCTCACAATGTCCAAATCATATAAATAAATACCTTATCTTTAGTGACAAATATATATATATACACATAACGTTCAATTTTATTTCAGTTTCTCTGAGAGAATCAATTGTTTCTAATTCTAAACAAAATATTTCCTTTAGGGAATATTCCTGTTTTCGGTTGTTAGATACAAACCTCTGGTGTACGCAGAGACTTACGTTTATCCTTGGTGGGGGGAGCTCTTAGGCTGGGGGATAGCTCTGGCTTCGATGGTATGGATTCCGTCCTATGCTGTTTATTTCTTGTTAGTCACACCAGGTTCTCTGAAGGACGTGAGTAGTTTTAGTGTTTTTAGTTTTAAAGATTATTCACAAGTTTCTTCGGATTGAAACATATAAAAACTGTACACATAGTTATTGATAATTTTATAGTATATTTTGGACACTTGTACTGACTATACCGACGGCACAACAAGACGTTGGTGAACTACACGTATATATTATGTATTTTATAGTTTCCAAATATAACATATATATGATGAGAAGTTAATAATTAGATCTGTAATATATAACTCATCGTTTTGTTTCCTTTTTTTTTTTCAGCGATTGATTGCTGGCATAACTCCGAAAGTTCAACCTTCTCAGAAATTAACAAAGATACTTGGTCAAGATTTCAAGCTTCCCGAAAGTAAACACACCAAACTGCCAGACTCGGGAGATTCTACGTCGACAACTCAAGAAATACTTTATATTTAACTGTTGAAAAGTCTACATTATCATTTTCCTAACATTAGATCATCCTTTAATACGTTATCATATTCCTAACCCTAGATCCTCCGTTAGTACGTGATCATATTCCTAACCCTAGATTCTCCTTTAGTATGTGATCATATTCCTAACCCTAGATCCTCCTTTAGTATGTGATCATATTCCTAACCCTAGATCCTCCGTTAGTATGTGATCATATTCCTAACCCTAGATTCTCCTTTAGTATGTGATCATATTCCTAACCCTAGATCCTCCGTTAGTATGTGATCATATTCCTAACATTAGATCATCCTTTAATACGTTATCATATTCCTAACCCTAGATTCTCCTTTAGTATGTGATCATATTCCTAACCCTAGATCCTCCGTTAGTATGTGATCATATTCCTAACCCTAGATTCTCCTTTAGTATGTGATCATATTCCTAACCCTAGATCCTCCGTTAGTATGTGATCATATTCCTAACCCTAGATTCTCCTTTAGTATGTGATCATATTCCTAACCCTAGATCCTCCGTT